CTATGTAACTTTATTCTTGTTTATTCATGTTTGGCATAAAAAGAGGGGAAGGTTGAGTGATTACATAAATAGTTCCTCTAATTTCTCTTATAAAGGTACATGCCTCTCTTGTTCTCAATTACACTTATCCTTTTGATGCTATGCGGGTATTCACTTGTTTTCATATTTGGAGAAGTTTGGACTTATGAGTATCTTTCAATGCTACATATATGATTGGCCATGATGATTTATGCACTTATGTTGGAGGCTAGTTTATGTTATTACAAATGGATTTTCTTTCATTAACATTTAAAGTAACATATATTGATAGATTTCAGTGTTTTTTTTTTCTTGAACTTGTGTTGAAGAGATTGAATAGTCTTTTCTTTTTCTTCTCCTAGAAGTTAGTTCTTTGTTAGAAGAGTAAAAGTGTTTTGGGAAGTCTCTCGGGTTTCTTTGTGATTAGAGAGCTTTATGAGTATTTCTTTTTATTTTTGTTGAAAGGTTTCATGATTTACCATTGGCTCTAAATTTATTTATTTTTTTTATATTAGACGGTTTTACACTAAGTTTTGTGAATGCTTTACAATGAGAGGTTTTATAAAACTTTCTTGTTGGAAAGCTTTTTGATTTTAACCTCACTCCCAATGTAATAAGAAGCACTTGATTGTCTTTTGTGTCAAAAAGATTTTGGTAGATGATTTATGTTGTATTTTATGTAATATTTAATTTAGAAGTTTTTCATAAGGCATTTTGGAACTTCTAGTTTTGCGATTTGCTTTGTGTAGTAAGGTCCTTTAGTATCTTTTTAGAGCAAGTTAATGTGTAGTGTACGGATTGTTTTTCTATTAATTCACATTCACTTCTAAAGAGGGATTTTGGAAAATATGCAAAAAAGAAAGGGCTTGTTTTAGTTTTGGGTTTTGGGAAACTGTTTCTCTTCCGTTATTTTAAGCTTTATTTAGAGAGTGGTTAAGTTATTTGAGTCGTTTTAAATGTATCAAGTGAGTTATTTGGAATGTGGGGACAACAAAGAGCATTGAAAATGTTTTCTTCCCTATTCATATCACATCGAATTAGGGAGAAGGTTGTTTTAGAGACACACTTGGCTTCAAAGAAGTGTGCCTAATAATAACAATATATACATTCCTTTTATGTTTGATTTTCATTTTTTTATTGCATTTAATTATCTTTTGCTTTGCTTCTAATCTTTTGTCATTTCTTTTATACTTTGATATATTAAATGCTTGTAAAATGAGGAGAAATTAAAAGACAAATGGCTCAACCAGTATACAAAAAGGTACGTTCTAGCTTTTATTGCATCTTCATTTCTTTGTATTATTATTTGCTTATATATGAATGTGCTCTTATAACTATCTTTTCTATGTTTTGTGAGGTACCTTTTGGAGAGCAAAGGACAAGGAGCACTAGAGCATTTGGTGACGGAGCATGGATAATCAGATCCGAGCATCAGTCGCCCCTATTTAGTCTAATAGGGGCGCTACGGGCGGAACCATCGGGTCATAGCCCCCAGTGCTGTAAGTTTCCTTAAAAACTTAGAAAATCTTTAGGGGCTTTAATGATTGCACACTCTCCACCCTTTAGGACTATGTAGAAACTTTATTTTATAATTAGGATTACTTTTCTTTTATTTTAGATCCCAAACCCTTTCACATGTACGAAAGTCCTAAGGGTTAGAAAACAAAACTTCTTTTAGTCCTACAGCTTTAGTGACACCTAAGAATAAAAATTAAGGGCTGAGTCTTAGATAATATAGATTTATGGTGCATGCTCTCTATAGGATAGAGACATCAAAACAAAACTCAGTGACACATTTTCTTAGGTTTAGTTTTCTTTAATCCATTAATAATCAACCAATCATTTATAATCTAACATTTAAAATATATTAAAAATACTTAACTCTTAATTAAATTATAATTAACATTTGTAATCATTAAATTACAAACCTAAAATATAAAACCTAAATTAAATTTAACTAATCTAATAATAAACTCTTAACAATTTAAAATTTAAAAGATGTAGATTAAATTAGGAGATTCAAATCTAAAGTTAAAATTCATTAGGATAAAAGACTTTTAAATACTAAACTTTAGACTAATCTTTAAAATCAATCAATAAACTTGATTAATAAACTATTCAATTTACCTTTCTTTTCTAATTTATAATCAACTAAAAATAATTTAACACAGTTGATTATCACTGGGTAAGCCTACAAGGCTATTAAGTTAGCCCCAAGGAGGATGAAATAAACCACACGGCTTCAGTGCGAAATAAAGGTGGTAATCAATCAAATATTAAAATAAAATCTCCAACTTAAAATACTAATATTTAAATCTCAATTAAAATCTCTCTTTTGTCTTCTAATAAATCAAATGCAAGCAACTTTAATCAAATTATCCAACATAGGACATACCAAAATCACACAGCCTATACACACTTAGACTTATTTGTTAGGACACAACTACTAGCTTTAGGTTAGGCCGATGATTTGCTTTTTTTTTCTGTCTCTATGTTGTGGTGATTTGCATGTGACCCGTATGCTATTTATTTTGCTACTTGCTTTAATTTTCTTTGAAGTATTTCTATGGTGACTTCTAGCTTCCTTTTTGCTGTGTTGTGAGCGATAGAGTACCCATAGATTAGGAACACCTTTTTTATATTGACATTATCTTATTGCAGATGGTCGTGCTCACACAGCGCCAAAAAGGGGCTAAAATTAATAATAAAATGTATAACTGCTACATGCGCTTCAGCTGCTTAGCCCTCAAATAATTAGAGCACGGCCAAGTGTGGTTAATTTTGAGTAACTTCATTTCATATATAACTGCTTGGATGTTTTTGATTATAACTGCTTAGGATAACCCCTGCAAGAGAGTCTGGATTTTCATTTTTTTTTGCTGATGTAATGTATTTGATGGTGAGAGTTGTGAAAATCTTTAAAATAAGATATTTTAAATGTAAAGGGGTCTAAAGGAAAAAGAAAATCCCCTATAGGGAGTTTCCTTTTTCATTTGGACATCCTTTTAGAGGATATACTACGAGGAGCCCGAAGGAGAGAAGACGATCCATAGACAAATCAAGGAAGGAAAGATGAAGAGCGAGATGTAAAATGCCATATTTTAAGATTTGCGTCATTCCTTAGGGGTGAACCCGAGTTGTTGTCGGTGGAGCCCGGCCACCACTACTTTTTTTGTACTATGTAATGTAATATTGTATGACACTTGCCATGGACTTTGGACACTCTTTTTCATAGTTTTTGTTATTTTGTTGTGATTTGTTTGCTTTGTTTGCGCAGTAGAACTAACATGCTTTTTTATAGATTTCTTTCTTGCATGTGCATGTACCTGACTCGCTAGGTTTTTCTAGGAATAAATATCTTCTACTCGTAATCATTCATAAAATTTTAAAAATTAAGCAACATAGAAACATAACGATTTAGGGAATAGTCGGAATCGTCCGGGGTCACATGCATGCATTCTCTCTCTTCCTTCTTTAGACACTTCCACGCTTGCGGGTAGAGTCCGGATAATCTGGCCTATTAGGATGAAGTGCCGGACCTGGGGAAGCTTAGTCTTTCTAAAAAAATTATTTTATAAGCCTTTTTAAAATTTCATACATTTTTTATTTGGAGACTTTGACTAACATAAACTAGATTAGTAACTAATTAAAATTAAAATTTAATTGCATTAGTTTTAGGTGCATAATACCATCCATAAGTGTGGGATCACTTAGGAACTTCTCTAGTTGTCGATCCCAAATTCCAAAGTCTAACCACCCACCCATCTTTCATATGAACTGGATATCATAGATTTTATACGATTAGGTGGCTTTAGCTGACTTCCTTTTTCAGGCAAGGAGTAAGTCTAGGATTGTATTAGTTAGGTCGTATATGTTAGTGTCGTGTGTATGACATTACATCTTTTATAAATTTAAGGTCTAAGGCTAGTGGTGTAATGTACCATTGTATGCCTTATCGGTGGATAAGCTTTGTTTTCTTTCAGGAGCTATAAATCCTACCCATTCGCGTCACATGGATGACACCAGCTCCCTCTTTCTCTCACGTATGCTTGATATGTAGTGTCTTTTCTTTTTCTCTAGTTTTCCCTTCGTTAGACCGATCGAATGATGATTGAACCATGTGTGGATGAGTAAGCCAAATTGAGCATATATTCCCCTTTGATTAGGAAAGCCTAGAAATTCCTTCGCGCTAAAATCATTTCGAGAGAATAATGTAACATCCATAATCAAGAGTTTTCTTAGATTGAGGTCTAAGATGTAATTAACTATGGGGGCTTGCGCCCGTAGGAAACCGATCCCCACAATCAAATAAACTATATTCGAGCTGATGTATCGAATGGGGGAAATATCGTGAAATTTTGGGTTATATATATTATTATCCATTGAAGTGTGTAGGCGAAAGTTGCTATCTTCCATGGATAATCGTATGTATAACTTGATCTGCTCTTCCATCGACCTTCTTATGTCGAGTGTAAAGACCTACGACCGTTTTATCCTACGGGATAGTGCGATCGTATCCTTTGTATTCGAACCCTAAAAGTAGAATCCTTTCGGAGACCCACAACCTCCTTCAAAAAATAACTTTTAAAACACTATAAGGATCTTTGAAAAACAAGTTTTTAATGTTATGGTACATTTCAAATTCATTAAAATACGACATGTGACACGTGATAGTTTGATGTGACAAGTTGACAGAGAAGAGGGTTTGATGAGATGAGAATTGCGAGAGACTGTTCCAAGGGAATTGCATTATTTACAAATGTGATATTTCAGAAAAAAAGATATTTCAGAATTTTGAAAATCTTATTTTACAAATTATATAGTAAAATTGAAAAAGAAAAACAAATAAAATTGGATCTTTGAAACAAGTTTTAATGGGCAGTTTCAGCCCGGCCCATAAGCATATTGGCCCAAAGTTTTATCAAGCAGTATTTGCCCATTTCTATTTTTACGCCATCGATCCAGATCAAACGGCTTATAGATGGAACAATGGATTCCATTATGTAGTCCACACTGAATCCTATAAATAACACAAAACCCTAGCCTGGTATTTGCGGTGAGGAAGAGGCGGAGGCAGCCAAAGTAACACAGCTCTATACCGATCTTCTTCTTACAAGGTAGCGAAGTTTCTTATCTCTTCTTGTAGGGTTATGGTTTTTTCAACTCTGTCTTGATACGCTCTAGATCGTTATGTCTTTTTAAAAAGATGGCTTACAATGCGATGAAACCCACAAAACCGGGTCTCGAGGATTCGAGGGACCAGGAGCATCGCATCAGGATCACTCTGTCTTCTAAGAATGTGAAGAATCTTGAGAAGGGTATTTTCTGGCATCTATTGTTCGAAAGGAAAATTTCGTTTGGTTTCGTAATTACTGAATTTGTATTAGTTCTTGTTATTTGATTTGCGATTTCGAATAGTGTGTGCGGATCTGGTGAGGGGAGCAAAGGATAAAAAGCTTAGGGTTAAGGGACCTGTCAGGATGCCTACCAAGGTTCTTAATATCACGACCAGAAAGTCTCCCTGTGGTGAAGGTGAACTTCCAACTTCTATCTAGATCGTCTGTGTCATTTCTTATGATTTGAAGTTTTTGTTCTTTTGGATCTGTATTCAGGTATCTCTGCATGTTATTTTTTCTATTCACGAAGTTGAAGTTAGAACCTTTTTATAATGATTACTTTTTATCTTGCATCAACCCAGTTTAGTCGTTCACATTCTACTTTTTGCATAATCTTGTATTCAAAAATCCATTTAAATCAATATTTACACCATCCCTTTCTGGGATTCATTAGTTTCTTGTTTGTTCTGTAGACAAATGAAGTTGGTTACTAGGCCATCTAGTTGAGTTATTTGTGAAACAGGGAAGTTGGATTAATATTAGGCCAGATTAGTCAAATAGGATTAGCTACTCCATAGTTTGAAGCAGAAAAAAATTTTGTATTGCTGGAACGGACATGTAATACAGTAGCATTCCCAATTTAAACTTTATCCCCTTAAGATGTGAAATACATGCAAGATTAAGTTGTTATGTGACTTTCCTGCAAGAGTATTGTGCATATATAAATGCCTCTGATAACTGTTACATTGGGTTGATTTCAAACGAAATGACCTATTCGTGTTACTTCCCCTAATATGACCAGTGGATTTTGTAACAATAAATTGTTAAGTGCGGCAGCTATCTTTATCTTTCTTGTGGCTTTTGTGTTTGCATTTTTTGATTGTTAGGTTGTTGGTTATTGCATGACATGATTTGACTGAGCAGATGATGACATAGATACATCACAATTACTCCTGATATATTTCTATGAAGTCTCAAATTCGAGCTTTTTAAAACTGATGCTCAGTCCTATGACCATTCATTCAAAAACTTATCATGGATCAGATACTTAATCAGTGGAAAAATTTTTATTGCTCAATTAGACACTAACCCAGCAGGAAAAGCCATCTAATTGATTTAGATGCTCAATCCTCCAACATTCTTAATTTACATACTAGAACCCTACAATTTGTAACATATATAAGAGGAAATTGTGATGCAGTAGGACTGAGATTGTATTGTACAAATCTGAATGTATGTGATCATAGTGTTTCATCAGGTTGATTACTGGCAAATTTTTGTTATTTCAATCCCTATTAATATATACCCAATGTTTTTTGGTTACAAAAATACCTCTAACTCTATTTTTCTTGCATGTATTGGTTTTTAGATTGCCGGAGTGCTTTTTTGTTCAATGGCTTTGTGTGATTTGACTGAGCAGATGATGATATAGATATAAAACAAGTATTTCTGAGACTTGTCTATGAAGTCTCAAAATCGAGCTTTTTAAAACTGATGCTCAGTCATACGATTACAATCAATACTCTCAAATTTGAGTTTTTTAAATTAGACCTTCGAGTCCATAAAAAAATTGTGTTTTACTTAAGTAGATGCTTAATCCTGCAAAAAAACTGCTCATTACTCGAGTAGGTTCTTAATCCAACACTAATCCAAGTTAAACTCTAGCCACTTAAATTGTGAAATTTTAGATGGTGAAGTTGTGGTGTGGTATGACTAAAAGAGCACTGTACTAATCTGATGGATCATGGGTCTTATCACTATGTATCTTAAAGTTTTTTTGCCAGTGAAATACCCTGTGTTATTTCTTGTAATACATCCAATGCTTTATGTAACAAAAAATAACTCGGTTCAAATGTTGTCTTGCTTTTGCTTGTGGTTTTGTGTTTTAATGCGCTGACTTTTAGTGTGTTTTTTTGCATTTATTGTTCAATGCAGGGTATGATTTGACTAAATGTCTGATATTAATATAAAAGAATTGCTTGCGTGATATGTCTATAAAGTCACAAATCTGAACTTTTTTAAATTGATACTCAATCCAGTGCCCAACTTCAAAATCAGAGTATTACAAAGACTACCATGTACTGTACTTAGTTGATTATCAACCTGAAATGATATCTAATAATCAAATATATTTTCCATTTAAAAGGGCTTCAAATTATGTCAAGCTGAAATCTGAGCCATCAACAAAGCTATGCTATTTCCATTCAAATCTGAACCTCCTTAATTTATATCAAATAAAGTAGAAACAATTTTACATTTTTTGTTATGCTAAAACAGTACATCTTTTCCTTTGGGCTCTGGCCTTGCTTCCTTATTTCAAATACATATTGGAGGCTTTATCTCACTTTTTTGCACTATTTCCTTTCTCCTCGTCTTAATTTCCAAGTCATTATCTCGTTGTTCCCGTTATATACTTCTTCAAGTGGTTAAAATCTCTCAAAATACTACCATCTTTTTGGCTCCTGTAATGTGTTGCACTCTATTTTTAAGGCAATTGTTATTCATCTTTTGTTTCTTCATTATTTAATGTTTCTTTTACTTGTTAAACTATATTCCTTTTAATATCATTATAATGATATTCACTATGTAAATGTTGTAACTTTTTTCAATTAGTATTTTATCATGCTTTCTCCCAATTACAATAACAAAAATTCCTACCATAAATTCAATTACGTCTCTTTCATACCATTTTGATTTAGCAGTGTGTAAGGGCAGTTGTTTGTTTTCTTTTCTCTGTTTAAAGTAGATTGGGATCCAATATAATTCTGTTTAGGGGTATAAACAAGTTGAGTTAAATAGTGACATTATCGAGTATGAGCTTGTTTAGCTCATACTGAGTTCGAACTCGAGCTTGTATAATGAGCTTTAACTCGATCATTGTATAAAAATCAAGCTCGAGCTCGACTTGATTACTCGAGCTCGTTTAAAATATTCGAGCTTAGCTCGATTGAAAAGCTTGAACTTGACATATTTATGAAGTTTGAATTTTTGTTATCTTGACAAATTCTAAAAAAAGGTATATTAAAAATTTTGAATATATATTTTAAAATCGAGTAGCTCGATGAGCTAACAAGTCGAGTTAGATTATACTTGAACTCGATCTCGTTTAATAAACGAGCTCGATTATATGCTTGAGCTCGAATTCAAAATTCTATAAGCTCGACTCGTAAGCTCTTTAGCAAGTCGAGTTCTAGCCGGCTTGTCTCACTTACACTTCTTAATTTTGCGTATAATTCTTTGGTTGCATGGCCATTGGTTTTTTTACAACGCAGCCAATGAAAGTTTTCAGATAGGGTGTTTGGTTTGTATATATGGTCATCCTTAAATGAAATAGTACAGCCAATGAAATCTCATGTTGAGTTGTAAGCTAGGTGTTTGCTCAAATAAATCTCTCAGCAGCATCAGCTAATAAATATTATGCAGCTAATTGTAGCATAGTAAATTACAATTGTTTCAAATTTTGAATTGATAGACATTCACTTTACTGAATTCCCAGTGAACACACCCAACATAGAGTGAGAAAAACTCCCATCTCTAAGTAATCTTCAGCTAGCAAAATAAATGGAATTGTTACGTATATATTGCTTTATAATTAATTTTGTTTAGAATTCATTTAAATTGTATATTCCCTTAGTGCTAAATTTAATGTTTCAATCATACGATTTAAATTCTGTATTTGTAGCAGATTAAATAGATTGTAAGAATCCCTTCGAAATTGTAAGTGGAATTTGAATAAATAAGAATCATAACTTTGGGAATTCGTAAGTTTGTTAAACCGATTCTAGCATTATTTATATTTAATATTGTATTTTACATCTTACATTATGTCTAGCCCTTACCAAAAGAATAATTCATTTAGGTAAAATTTTACAAAACTACCCACAAATTATCTAAAATAGGAAAAATAATTCATTAATTTGATAACATAAACTTATGTATTCATTCATTATCGGTTCATTATTCTAACATTATGATTTATAAGTTATTGTATGTATTAAAATTTTATTTTAATAACATGTTTCCTTATATTATTTTAATAATCTCTTTTATTTTAATTCATTATAATTCATTATCGGTTCATAATTCCTTATATTATTTTAGTAATGAATCCGTTTAATGCATCTTATGTAAAAAAAAAAAAACTAGCTAAACTATATACGGTAAGCAAATGGCATCTTGTCCCCACGGAAAACATCAGGGAAACACCAGAGAATGCCCTGTATTAAAGGATTAATTATTCTGTGTGAACACCGGACGGAGAGAGCCGTCCAGATTTGCAGCGCTTTTTCTGTCTTTTTGCAAAAGAGCAGCAAATATTTAATATTTATTAAATAATTGAACATTTGTTGTATTTTTGCTGCATTTTTGCAAAAGGGCAGCAAAATGACAATAGAAAAACATTCATAATTGAATATTTGTTGCTCTTTTACTTCCCTTTTGTAAAAGCACAACAAAAGTGCAAAAAATCCGGACGGTTCTTTTTGTCCGGTGTCTGCATTCTCGTATTAGAGGGGGAAGAGGGGATTCCAGCGGCATGGAGATAAAAAAAAGGTAAAAAACCGTGCACTGATGGTTAATTATAGAAATTTCGGTAGAGACATCAAAACTTAGAAGAGTGCTTGAAATGATAATAACGGTTTTTGAGTTAACTAGATTGTCACACTTGATATCCTGGCAAATAAACCCACCTGCATCTAGAAGCACCCAGATAGAAGATCAACTTTACCCCCTTCCAGTTTCTCTTTCTCAATTACATTTACCATAGTATCTCAGTGCTGTTTTTCAAGTCAATATGCAAGTTTTCCTATGAAGGTAGTTTACTGAAAGGATATCTCTATTTTTCAACAAAAAGCTATTTTATTATTTGTGTTATGCTCAGAATATCTGCCATGTCATTAGCATTACCTGTTTGATGAACTGCTGGATGCTTCAGGTACCAACACCTGGGATCGGTTTGAACTTCGAGTACACAAGAGGCTAATTGACCTTGTCAGCTCTTCTGAAGTGGTGAAGCAGATTACCTCAATCACCATTGAACCTGGTGTTGAGGTTGAGGTCACCATTGCTGATCCGTAATTATACTTGGGACTTCCGTTCATAAAAGTGGCCGTCTTTTCCTTCATTGTTTTACTAAACTCACTTTCCAATGTCTTAATGAATGTTATTTTGTAGTTTGAAGATGAAATTTTGGATCATTTGCTAGATTTTTTTTTTAAATTAAAAAAAAAAACACCCGGCATTAATTGTGATTCAAGTCTATGAAGATGGCCAAGTGAGTTTACGTGGTTCAAAAATCCATTTATTGGAGATCCAGCAACCATATTTTGTTTTTTTCTTAATGGTCTGATATCCAAGTAAACGATTTTGATTCTTGTGTTTTAATCATAAATCTTCAGTTGTGCTTATGTTTGCTCGTTATGTACTAATTAGTTTATCTAAATATTTATCTTTAGTCAGATTCGAATTCTGTTTATGCATCGTTTGGGATGATTTTTTTTATTATTTTTTAAATTAATTTTTTAATAATAAAATTAAAAATTTTTAATTATAAAAAGCTGTTTTAAGAAGGCGCAAGAAAGCTGTCTCAAATGAAATTTTAGATTTTATTTGGGATGATTTTCACACTACTTAAAGTAAATTTTTAGTACAAAAATTAAAAGTTTTATATTAGATAGCTGTTTTAAGAAGTAGCAAGAAAGTCATTACAAATGAAGCATTAATTGGGAGTAAAAAAGCAGCCGCTGTAGTGTCATAATGGTGCTTAACTTCTGATAGTTTTGTCTAATTTAATCTTAATAAGTGCATGGTGATAATACTCAATAGCATTCATGAGCTGACAGCTTGGTACATCTGCCTTTTGTTTTTACCCGATTAACGTGACAAGAAGGTTTGGCAAGTGGTTTGTGTATTGGCTTATAATTGATGGAGCAAACTTCTTTGGGAGGGTGGTAATTTGTGAAGAGCTTTCTGCTGGATTGTTGAAATTCATGGGACGTTATGGCAGCTTGAATATACTCGAGGATAGCCAAATGAACCTTCGGATTGCCTGTCCATCAAATATATCCATCTCATCGTTCGACTACAAATTATTTCTTTGGCTGGAGTATTTTTTTGGTATAGTTTTTGCTTCCCATGCTTTCTGCTAGAATGCTAAAGTTTTGATACATGTTAGAATAGTGATGAAAGTTTGATAAATAGGGAAAGAATAGATTTACTAAAGATATCAAATATAATTACAAAAGATAACGAGGTTTCCTGACATTCATTTATGCTCGTTGTTGTATAAAGACCAAAATTTTTATTTTAGTTTCCAAAGAAATATATAGGGAAAAATTACATTTCATATGAATAAAAATAAGAAAATCTTAATGATATTGATGGAGTATAATCACTTGTTATTAAGACAATGATTAGATGTGGAGTATGAGTTGTTGATGTTGCTTTTTCTTGCTCTTCCTTCCATTGTAGAAAGTTTTTTTTGTTTGCTTGTGTTGATGAGACAGTTAGCTAAACAAAAAGATATGAGCAGTAATGATTTAGTTCAAGTGAAGTGTATTAAGGATGAAAATAAAAAAGAATATGATATATGGAGAGTGAGTGTGTTGATTTGTATTGTTTAGAATAAAAGTGAAGCACAAATTTTGCGAATTATAGATGAATTAAAATAATGCGTCATGCTTTAAAACTTTGGGAGAGTTACGGAGCATAGGTTGTGGTGTGTTTGGATTCATTCTAGGTAGGTCTAATATGAAAATTATATATTTATTGATAGATTTGATGAAATATAGAGAGAATATGGAGGATCTACATATATTTTTTATTGATTTAGAGAAAGCATTTTATAAAGTCTCAAGATAAATGCTAAGGAGAGTTCTATATAAGAAGGGGTTAATAATGTATTACTTGTGTTCAAACACAAGGTGATTTGATCAAATATTTTCCTATTTCAATTGGATTACGTCAAGGACTAGCCTTAAGCTCATATATTTCTACTTTAGTCATGAATGTTCTTACTAGACATTTGCAAGAGATTGTACCTTGGTGTATGCTTTTTGTTGAAGATATTCTTCTTTTTGATAAAATTAGAGAGGGAGTTGAAGATAAACTTGAATTTTGAATGTAAACCTTAGTCTAAAAGCTTTTATTTGAGTAGTTCTAAAATAAAATATATGGAGTGTAATTTTAGTAATAATAGATCTAGTGAGGGATTGCGACTGGATGATCAAGTCATTAATAAGAGTACATATTTTAGATATCTTGGGTCTATTATTCATAGTAATGGTGAAATAGTTGGAGATATTTTTAGTAAATTTTAAGTTGGATGGTAGAAGTGGAGGAAAGCATTGAGTTTGTTGTGTGATAGAAAAGTCTCCCTTTTTATATAAGATGGTAGTGAGACCTGTAATGCTTTATGGTGCATAATGTTAGCCATTAAAAGAAAAGCATTACTTTAAGTGTTGTAGAGGTGAGGATGTTTAGGTGGATGAGTAGCTTTACTCTTAGAGATATGGTACAAAATGAGCATATACATGAAAATATTGGAGTAGCTCCAGTGGAGGATATTAGAAAGTCATATTAGATGGTTTGGTGATATAAAATGATGGCATTCAGATGACCTGATTAGGAAAGTCAATGTTTTAGATTTGACTTATGTGCAGAAAGATAGAGGTAGACCTAAAAAGATTTGGTTAGAAATATTAAAAATGACATTTCTTTATTAGATTTAGTTCAGAATTTGACTAGAAAAAAAATTTATGTCGTCGAACCCATAGTGGGATAAAGGCTTGTTGTTGTTGTGACGATGAGATGTTTTTAATTATTGATTTCTAATCTTTTTTATAGTTAATAATAAAGCTTTCATTAAACATATGAGATATTATGAAAGATGAATTAAATATAAATGATCGTATCCGACGGTTATTCATCGTCCTTTTAACGACGGACTATTCGCCGGAACTATCGGTGGAATAAACGACGGTAAACGAAAATGTTCACCGACGAGATTTTGCTGTTTTTCCGCCGGAAAGTATGCTGGAAACTTGTTTCCGGCGCAATTTCTGCGCCGGCAAAAAATTCTGACGCGCAATATTCCGACGAAAAGTTTTTCGACGGTACTCCGGCCGAAATCAACAATTTCCGGCGCATTTTTGTTTTTACCGACGGATTTAGTCCGCCGGTAAAAGCTTGCTTTCCTGTAGTGCTTAAGTTATGTGATAATTATTTTTTAAAATTAAGTATGAATTGAATTAATTATTTTTGAAATTTTAAGTGTAAGTTGAATTATGAAATCACCATCTTAGTAATTTAAAGTTTATTCGAGATAATTTTTTTACTATTTGTTACAATAATTTCAGTACAAAAAATATTTGGTAAGTAGAAGAAAAGTAAAGGTTAAAAGATGTTCCAAATAAAGTCTAAATTGTGAATTGATTTTTAAATTGGTAGCTAATAATTTTTAGAAAGTCAAGATTAAATTTTATTTAAAATAGCTAATAAAATTGATTCAATTACTACTAGATTTACTCAATCTTGTAGAGGAGATTTTGTAAAATTTAATGCTGTTGAAATCTATTTGGTGATAAATATTAAATATAATTAAATCCTAATGAATTTTTGACAAACATTTTTCAAGTTTTAATATTTAAGTGGCTGATAAGAAGAGGCAACCTGAAAAAGTGAATAATCAATTTATATCTCAATAAACGGAGGGCAATGCCTCTAATAAGTAAGGGTAGTTCATTAAATAATAATTACTTTTTTCTAAATGAGTGGCATGAAATTGGGTTCAATTAAGATCCAATTAATCACATTAGGAAAGCTTTGCTCTAAATTCTTGTTTCATGGGAATATTAACGGGAAGAAAATTCACTTGATTGCTTGGGATAAAACGATTATTCCTAAGAAGAATAGAGGTTTGGGGATTCCTTCCAATCCCTATACTTTAGTGTTTATTGTTCTTTTATATGGCGCATGCTTACTCAAGATTCATTAATTAGCTCTTGGTTTAGAGACAAATATTGTTCTCTCTGGAAACATCCACCGGTTAAAGCTTCTAAATTCTGGAAAAACATTTGTTTCACTGCTTATAAAATTAAAGATCATATGTCTTTTCAGAACACTCCTAATTTCTCCCTTTATTGGCAGGGGCGGATACCCAAAAAAAAAAAAAAAAAAAAAAAAAAAAAAACCGGGATTAGGAAGTAATTAAACCATGATTAAAAAAAGCAGGGATTAAATAAATAAAAAATAAGTTTAGGTTTAAGTAAATCCTATTTGTTCTGTGAAAACAAGTCCCGGCTCTTTCGCGTTTCTTCACGCCGCGTCGCCGCCTCTATCCTTTCTTTCGCAGTTTCGCCGTTCCTTGGCGTTTCTCCGGCGACGCAGCTGACCGGCGGCGGCAGACGACGGTTGGAGCCTTGGAGCCCAGCCCGCGATGTGTCTTACTCCGAGTATCCGAGAGCAGCGGCGGCGACTGGGAACTTGGGAAGCCGTGACTTACTGACTCGTGAGGTATTTTTTTTAACAAAAACCTGTTTCAATTAGCATTAATCAGACATTTAGTCATTTAGAAGTTCTTAAATGTTAAATCTAAAGTAGCTGATGACCTGATGTCTCTAATTTAAATTATGATTTATGCATTCATGTTTTGAGTTTTCTGGGTAGAACCGTAGAAGATAATTATAAAAATCTGAAAAAAAAATTTTAGTGCTTTTTCATGTTTGCCCGAAATTTTCAAAGGACCAGATATATTTAATTTTGTTAAATTTTTTAAGTTTTATTGTTTGTTTCTTTACATTTATATGGTTGATTCTATAAGTTTTATATTTTGGTCCTTTTTTTGAATAGATATATAATCAGATAAATGTTAAGGCATCTTTGAGTTGGAATATTATGGAGAGATATTTCAAACGATCATCAGTTTCAAAAACATCAAATGACAGTAGCAATCAAGTTGAAGATCATAAAGAAAAGCGCATTCGAGTGGAAACTGATTTACCTAACAATATAGAAGTAAGCGTTGAAAATCTTCCATCTGATCCAGGACTACGAATTCCTATTGTTGATTTTAATCCTAATCTTCGGGATGAAGTTCGAAGATTGTATTTACAACGAGGTCCATTTCAACCGCGTAGTCATGATTTTCCAAACCATTACTATCTTGTATTTAATATTATATGTTTTGGGATAATTATTAATAAAAAAATTTTAAAACTGCCTATGCCGGTCCCAAGCCCGGATGAAAAAAGTTGGGAAAATTTTTACTAAGTTAATTTAGGCCCCCCCTTGATAAATTTCCTGGCTCCGCC